TAATATAGTTTAGATTAATATCATTTAGATTAATATCGCTTCGATTAATATCGCTTGGATTAATATAGTTTAGATTAATATAGTTTAGATTAAAACAGCTTAGATTAATATAGCTTAGATTAATATAGTTTAGATTCATATAGTTTAGATTAATATCGCTTAGCTTAATATAGTTTAGATTAATATAGTTTATATTAATATATACGTGACTTTACCGAAATAACCAAGAATATGAATCCCTGCAGTCACGAAAGATTTAAATACAAATTTAGATTAATATAGTGTAGATTAATATAGCTTAGATTAATATAGTTTAGATTAATATAGTTTAGATTAATACAGCTTAGATTAATATAGCTTAGATTAATATAGTTTAGATTCATATCGCTTAGCTTAATATAGTTTCGATTAATCTCGTATCGTGGAGAGAGAATGTTACTGCAGAAACCCTCCCACCAAGCTAAGCCAAAAGTATCTCGAGGATTTTTCCCCCAGGAAGGGTTCTGCAATTTTTTCGGATGTTTGACCAATTAATAGATCAAGTCTAACATTAATAATAAATATATACATTAGTCGAAAGACAAACTAAACGTGCGGTTAGCAGAAAGTTGCATGTGTTCTTTTTGTTACTTTTGAGCATTCCGTGACCCACAGACAAAAAAAACATTTCCCGACAAAAAGGTTTTTGGGATTAAAGCGGACCATTACCGAACGCTGCCCTATAATAATGATGAAGAAGAATAAGAAGAATAAGAAGATGATGACGATGATGACGAACCCAAAAGTACCGGTCGTGTGAATCTAAAGGTGACGGAGGCCACTTGGCAGCCGCTTTGTCACAGAAAGCCGCGTGACGGCACGTGCCGGGTGGTTACCGGTGGTGATTGCCGTCAATTGCGGCCGTGAGAGAGCGGGCCCCCGTGTCGGGCTTACACAAAGCAGAGTTGAAGCGGGGTGGCAAACTTCGTCTGAGCCACACCACCAAGCGCTCCAAGGTTCTCTGTTTACACAAAGGCGGCCGCTTATTGCAGGCCGCCCCTGAGCGCGTGCAAACAGCCAGTGCCGGATTATCCCAGTAGCAAAAGTAGCCACGTGTAGTAGCTACTTAGTACACGTGTAGTAGCTACTACACGTGTACGTAGTAGCTACTACACGTGTAGTAGTAGATACTACACATGTAGTAGCTATTATACATGTAGTAGCTACTATACATGTAGTAGTAGCTACGACACGTGTAGTAGCTACTACACGTGTAGTATCTACTACACGTGTCGTAGTAGATACTACACATGTAGTAGCTATTATACATGTAGTAGCTACTATACATGTAAATAGTAGCTACTACACGTGTACTACATAGCTACTACATATGTGGCTACGGGCCCCGCACTTTCAAGGGCCCCGCGCTAAATGCTTTCAAGCCATCAATTCCGGTTCAGTGATTCTGCACTTGCTCTATTACTATAGTACTATACCACCTTCAACTTTTACGAAAGACCGGGTGTTTAAGGTTCGCGATTTGTCGTTATTATCTGGCTGTATAGCAAATAAAAAAAATACAATTACTTTACTGTGCAAGTTAAACATTTGCGTTTTAATATTTACGTGGTTTTTATTTTATTTAGGGCCCCTTCATAACATGATGCTTCAGGCCCCGCACTCGCTTCATCCGGCACCGGCACACACACACAGATGGACTCTTGCGCCTTGACGTTGAGGCCACGCGTGGCAGCATCCACGCGTGGCCTTGTCAGCCCGCGTACGGGGCACACAACAGCAACTGTCAGGCAACCCGACTATTCACAATCAACTATGCACAACTAACTATTCACAGGCAGCCATTCGCAACCAATTAACTATTCACAGCCAACTATTCACAACCAACTAACTATTCACAGCCAACCATTCACAACAAACTAACTATTCACAGCCAACTATTCACAACCAACTAACTATTCACAGGCAACCATTCACAACCAACTAACTATTCACAGCCAACCATTCACAACCGACTAACTATTCACAGCCAACCATTCATAACCGACTAACTATTCACAGCCAACCATTCACAACCAACTAACTATTCACAGCCAACCATTCACAACCAACTAACTATTCACAGCCAACTATTCACAACCAACTAACTATTCACAGGCAACCATTCACAACCAACTAACTATTCACAGCCAACTATTCACAACCAACTAACTATTCACAGCCAACTATTCACAACCAACTAACTATTCACAGGCAACCATTCACAACCAACTAACCATTCACAGCCAACCATTCACAACCAACTAACTATTCACAGCCAACCATTCACAACCAACTAACTATTCACAGCCAACTATTCACAACCAACTAACTTTTCACAGCCAACTATTCACAACCGACTAACTATTCACAGCCAACCATTCACAACCGACTAACTATTCACAGCCAACCATTCACAACCAACTAACTATTCACAGCCAACCATTCACAACCAACTAACTATTCACAGCCAACCATTCACAACCAACTAACTATTCACAGCCAACCATTCACAACCAACTAACCATTCACAGCCAACTATTCACAACCGACTGTGCACGCGCCTATTTACAAACTGGTCATCCGAAAATATATTTTTTTAAAGTGGATTATCATCAGCCGCTCGCCTCACATGGTGTAAACTATTAAGCTAAACTATTTTACGATTGAAACATTCTTTTTTATATTTTAACAGGTAAAGCCCACTGAACCACACAGCTCTTTTTTAGAAGCGACCTGGCTACCACAAGCAATAGCCCAATCAATTGGCTTATCACGTGGGAAGCTATTGCAGTAGTCAAATTGTCTAAAGGCGTGATGTTGAGTCTAAATGTGGAGAGGTAAAACCAGAGGACCCGGAGAAAAATCCACACGACCACGGAGAGAGAGAGAGAGACACGCAATCTCCAAATATACAGCAGGCGTCGTCAGGATCGGGATCGAACCCACGACCTTCTGTAGACCAGGCGAGGTAGTTAACATCTCACCACAGAGAGAGAAAGACACGCAAACTCCAAATATACAGCAGGCGTCGTCAGGGTCGGGATTGAACCCACGACCTCCTGTATACAAGGCGAGGTAGTTAACATCTCACACGGAGAGAGAGAGAGAGAGACACGCAAACTCCAAATATACAGCAGCAGGCGTCAGGGTCGGGATGGAACCCACAACCTCCTGTAGACTAGGCGAGGTAGTTAACATCTCGTAGCCACAGCGGGTTCCAACTCCTCTACTATCCCCGCTGTTTCTCCGCTGGTCTCTCTGCAGTCTGGGTGCTATGAAGAATGGCCATTTCCCGAAACGTCGTATGTTATATATTCGTATTATTTTGAGGCCACGCACAGCGATGTGAATGACGAACGCCTTGGGTTTGTTCAACACGTGATCATTCAATTGCGTTGTCTTTGCGTGCTAATTGTACCTGGAGTTGTATGTATATCTCTATGTATTTGCATGCACGTTGAACGTCTTCCGCGCTGAACGCAGCCAGCCGTGCTAAGCGGAGTTCTGCATCACGGCATGACAACTCTAGGGTAGCAGCCGCCGTCGTTTTGTCTCGGACTACCAATGCGAAGGTCAAGTTGTACTTTGCGGGTATCCACTCGCAAAGTCAATACTCGAACTGGAGGCGCTTGCCCCTGCACCTCCGATCAGCACGGTTGGGCCACTACGTACGGTGCGAAAGAAGTCCAACATACATACAGCAGTACTTTTACCTCTCGCTCGTCTCTCTCTCTCGCGGGGCGCGCCACGGTGGTGAGATGTTAACTACCTCGCCTGGTATACAGGAGGTCGTGGGTTCCATCCCGACCCTGACGATGCCTGCTGCTGCTGTATATTTGTAGTCTGCGTGTTTTTCTGTGGTGAGATGTTAACTACCTCGCCTGGTATACAGGAGGTCGTGGGTTCCATCCCGACCCTGACGCCTGCTGCTGTATATTTGGAGTTTGCGTGTCTCTCTCTCTCTCTGTGGTGAGATGTTAACTACCTCGCCTGGTATACAGGAGGTCGTGGGTTCCATCCCGACCCTGACGCCTGCTGCTGCTGTATATTTGGAGTTTGCGTGGCTCTCTCTCTGTGGTGAGATGTTAACTACCTCGCCTGGTATACAGGTAATCCTGGGTTCCATCCCGACCCTGACGTTTGCTGTATATTTGGAGTTTGCGTCTATCTCTCCATGGTCATGCGGATTTGTCTCCGAGTCCTCCGGTTTTTCCCCCTCCACGTTTAGAATAAATATCGCGCATTCAGAGTTTTTCGCTGGCTCTCATTTTCCACGTGGATCATTTTCTCGTAACAAGTCCCAGAAGTCTAACGAGCACTGCTTGGCTTGAGTTGCACAAAGATCTTTAAACCGCCTATCAAAGTCAACTCATGCACTGGTCTTTGTTAATAACATTACATAATAATAATACTAATAACAACGTCTTAAACGCATTCGTCAATGATACGGGGCAGTTGCCCTTCTTCATCGCACGTGCACGCGGAGATGCGCCGTGGAGAAGGGCCAGTGCCCGAAACGTCACCCATTATTGTTGAGGCTGCTTAAGCATCAATTCCAAAAGCAGCAGCAGCAGCAAGTCTTCAGATGCTGCTTCTGCGGCCGTCTGGAACGCTCTCTTCCTTTGAACATTAGGAAGCCACTGGAGCTGTGCACTTGTAAATCATCATCATTATCTAGATTTGATAAACTAATTCCTCTCGAGCTGTTTGTTGTTGTTGTTGTGTCCTTCCGCCGCACCTCCGATTAGCGCCGTTGGCTACGTACGGTGCAAACGAAGTTCACCATACGGTACATACATAGTTGCTAAAGCCACTGTTTCCTAATCACCAGACATTTGCCACGAGCGGTGGCAGTGAATGACACCGCTGCAGACAGATTGACGCACAGGCAGAGCTAACAATGCATTGATGCCTTCACGAATTGATGTAAAAATGTAAAACACACGCACACATTACATTACCTTGTCAGGGACCTTCGTGACCGCAGAGCCACTGGGAGATGGAAACGAAATGAACCTCACGCAAGGAGTTGGGGGGGGGGTTTAGAGGCGGGCCACGATCCACACAGGTATGCCGAGCATTCGTCCTTGCGGGCGAAATAAAAAAAAACAATGAAATAAACAAAACTCTTAGAGCCAACTTTTCCTGTTCGACAACCCTCGGCTCTGCGGCGCGCGAGCTTCTTCAACGCCGCAAGAGATTTGGAGAGGTGCAGCTCCCGTCCGGCGCTGCTGGGAAGGGCTCTCAGCTGCTGTCACTGTTGAGCTGCTCCCACGACGCACACTGACTGGGGGCGGCGAGCGCGCACGGAGGGACTCTGAGAAGGGGGTTGTCCGCTCGACCCACCAAGCACCACCCCACGAGGGAGGAAGCGACGAGTTGCAGGGCTGGGCTTGCTGCTGCTGCTGGCGCTTTGCTGCTCGTGACGAATTGGCATTGTTCTTGTGTGCGTCGGCGCGTGTCTGTGCGTGCGTGTCTGTGTGTGTGCGTGTGCGCGTGTCTGTGCGTGCGTGTCTGTGTGTGTGCGTCGGCGCGTGTCTGTGTGCACGTGTCTGTGTGTGTGTGTCTGTGCGTGCGTGTGTGTGTATCTGTGTGTGCGTGTCTGTGTGTGTGTGTGGGGAGCGGTGGTGCAGCGGTTAGCGCTACGCTGCGCTACGAACCCGGCGATCTGGATTCGATTCCCGCTCACGGCCAACACCGGCGACGATTATCTGAACCGGTCCTGGGCCTCCCCTAGGTCGACTCGGCCTCAAATTAGTACCTGGTGCGGTGTGCAAACATCGCCACTAGGGAGACAAAGGCGGTCGGGCGTGGTGCTGGCTACCCACCCCCTCGTGTACCGTTACCGGCCTTCATAGGTGCTCGCTAACAGCACTTGCCCCTACAGTATGTTAAGTCTATACGGGGGATCTTTTATCTTTGTGTGCACGTGCCTGTGTGTGTGCACGTGCGTGTGTCCACGTGCGTGTGTGTGCACATGCGTGTGCACATGCGTGTGCACGTGCGTGTGTGTGCACGTGCGTGTGTGTGTGCACGTGTGTGTGCACGTGCGTGTGTGTGCACATGCGTGTGCACGTGCGTGTGTGTGCACGTGTGTGCACGTGCGTGCACGTGCGTGTTTGTGTGTGTGCACATGCCTGTGTGTGTGCACGTGTGTTTGTGTGCACGTGCGTGTGTGTGCACATGCGTGTGCACGTGCGTGTGTGTGTGTGCACGTGTGTGCACGTGCGTGCACGTGCGTGTGTGTGTGTGCACGTGCGTGTGTGTGTGCACGTGTGTTTGTGTGCACGTGCGTGTGTGTGTGTGCACACACACACACGCACGTGCGTGTGTGTGCACGTGCGTGCACGTGCGTGCGTGTGTGTGCACGTGCGTGTGTATTCGTGGGGTGTGTGTGTGTAGGGAGTGCCGCGGAGCTACAAACCCGGCGGATCCGAGTTCGATTCCCTCTCACGGCCACCAACACCGATGGCAATGGTATATGAACGGGTCCCGGGACCTCCCCCTAGGTCGACTCGGCCTCAAACGAGTACCTGGCGCGGTGTGTAGTAAACATCGTCACTGGGGAGACAAAGGCGGCCGGGCGTGGTGGACTTCATAGGTGCTCCTCGCTAACATAACTTTCCCCGACAGTCTGCTCAGAATATACGGCCGGGAGCTTTTTGTCTGTTGGTTTTTTTCGTGCCAAAGAAGTTCAATCGCACAGACGTCCGCACGAGAGCACGATCCAGCCAAAACCTGAATCAGGCACTTTGTAAGATAGCGATGCTGGAAGATAAAGAACGAGCTGGGCAACCCCGCACAGGATCTGATGACACCCGGCAGATGCAATCGACGAGGTCGCGATGCTGCTGCTTATACAAGGCAGGCGGGTGCCCGCTTGCGATGTCGGTGACATCTGGGATGCCGTCTGTGTGAATCCGAGGTTGTCGTGACCCGTGGTGGAACCGGACGTCTTCAAGTTGATGATGGTCCCAGAGAACGCGGTCACAAACTACTGCACCAAAACAACAACAGCAGCAGCAACAACAGCAACGGCCCAGTACCACGTGGGATTTCGTTTATTTTGGCATCAACAAGCAAACATGGAAGCATTAACCAGGCTTAGTCCTCCTGCACGGTTGTTTTCCGAGACCTGACGAGATCTTGTGCATTGGGGGGTGATTTTCGGTGAATGTTCACAGACTCGTTCATAGAAACGTGGAATTTCCACCGCCAGCTCAGACGCGTTTGTGACAAAGTTTACAGACTTTCACCGATATGCGGTGCACACGGTAACCACAGACATTGCAAAAGTTCGTATTTTGTTTGACGTATTTTAAATGTTTCGTGTTTATATGTACACACACACAGGCACGCAGATACACACAGGCACACACACAGACAGACACACACACAGACACACATACAGACACACAGACAGACAACAACAACAACCGCCATTCGCCACTAAGTGGCGGTGACGTCACCACGACGCTTGTGCCAGGCTATGTGCACCCTGAGGCCACGTGAAGTGTCGAACGCCCGCTGGCAGGAGGTCACGGGGCAGACCCAGGTGCCACGGGTCGACTGACTGAGATGACTGGCTGATGCACCACCTGTGCCCCCTACTGTGCCAACCTGCTGTGCTTTAACCACCCGGCGCTCCGCTCGTTGTTCTGAGCGTCGCTCCTCCGCCCTCCGTTGTTGTTGGAGGGCGACTGCCTCCAACTGCCCAGTAGCATCCTTCATGAGCCTCCTCCACAGAGGCCGATCTTGACACCGCTGGTACCAGTCATCGGCAAGTCCACTCAGCTCCACGTCCTCCTGTACCACATCACTCCATCTCTTCTCTAGCCCGTGCCGCGCCCGCTTAGCCCCCTCAATCCGGCCAAACAAAAGCTGTTTCGGCATGCGGTGGCTGGGCATGCGGGCTACATGACCCAGCCATCGCAGCCTTGCCTGCCGGAGGAGCTCACCGATGGGACCCTGCCCAGATCTTTCAAGGATTTGTGAGCTCCTCACACAATCCAGTCTGGTTAAACCCAGGATGGATCGTGGGCAGGCCAGCCTAAATGTTTCTAACCGGCGAAGATGTTCCATTAGGGGGGTCCACGTTTCGCAAGCGTAGAGAAGGGAGGGAATGACAGTGGCCGAGAAGACCTGAAGCTTAGTGCGGAGCGACAGACCAGGTAGCTTCCACACAGCGTTACGCAACACACAGACACACAGAGACACACACAGGCACGCACAGGAAGAGTTATTGCGGCTCTGCAGTTAAGGTTCACAGTATACACAACATCGCACGCGCGTGCATTTTCTTTGTTGACATAGTCGGTCCTCGTGTGTATAAAACGAAAGTTACAATGGTAATGATTAAAGATTGTGCGCAGTGATTTGTTAATCCACCGCTGGATGACGAAGGCATCCTTACTCGACCTCGTGTGGGTCTTGCGTGTTGCATGACCATACTTCACCACGCTGGTCACAGCGGGTCGGTGAAGTGAAAGCAGGAGTGGTGCAAGCTTGGTCGATTCAGATGGCCACCTCTCTGAGGGTGTTCGCCGTGGTCAGGAATCGAACTCAGGTGTCACCAAGTTGTTAGTGGGTGCTTGTTCCACACACTCACCCACACACTACGAACCTGGCGACACGAGTTCGATTCCCGCTCACGGACAAGACCGGTGACGATTATCTGAACCGGTCCTGGGCCTCCCCTAGGTCGACTCAGCCTCAAATGAGTACCTGGTGCGGTGTGTAGTAAACATCGCCACTGGGGAAACAAAGGCGGCCGGGCGTGGTGTTGGCCACCCACCCCCTCGTGTGCCGTGCCGGCCTTCATAGGTGCTCGCTAACAGCACTTGCCCCAACAGTCTGTTAAGGCTACACGGGGGATCTTTGTATTTGGTGTGCCTAAAAGTCGGGACATATATGGAGGGGTATTTTATTTATTTTAACAAATGTTCACACCTCCGATTAGCACGCTTGGTTACGTCCGGTGTGAAAGAATTTCCATATACATACAAATAAGATAACTTCCATTGTTAACACGAATGCATGCTGCATTCATTTTATTTTGAAATCAATGTAGGACTTTTTTTCAAGATTACAGCTGCCTTCTTTAGCATAAGAATTGAACTCGTTTAAATCAACGGACTAATCCTGCGTGTCCTGACTTTTGGGCCACCCTCTGTGTGTGTATTATACTCTCGTGAAGGACGCTGCTGCTGCTGCCGCTGGGCAGTTGGTGGCAGTCGCCCTCCAACAACGGAGGGCAAGAGGAGCGACGCTCACAACAACGAGCGGAGCGCCGGGCGGATAAAACGCAGCGGGTTAGCACAGTCGGGGGCACGGGTGGTGCATCGGCCACTCATCTCAGTCAGTGAACCCGTGGCACCTGGGTCTGACCCGCGACCTCCTGCCAGCGGTCGTTCGACATTTCACGTGGCCTCAAAGTGCACCTAGCCTGGCACAGGCGCCGTGGTCACGTTACCGCCACTTAGTGGCGAATGGCGGCTGTGGTTGTTGTCGTTGTTCTCGATAACAGCACTTGCCCAAAAAGCGTGTAAAGGCTCATCAGGGATCTTTGTCTTTGGGGCCGTCCATAAATGACGTCACGCAAGTTAGGGCACTGGAAAGGTGTTGACAGGTGTCGATCACACACAGACGTTGTGCGAACCTCCGCTCCCGTGCCCGTCGACGAAGACGCCGCACACCACGGCGCCGACACCGAGAGAGAGAGAGGGCAGTGAAGCTCTCACACACACCCACACGCGTGGACTCCACGGGGTGGGGGGTGGGGGTTCTCTCTGCGTGGGATCGAGTATTGCACCGTCACGCGCGCGTGTTTTCGTCCCGTCTTCCTCCCACGTATGAGGGACTCGTTTATTATTGGCCGATAAGCACCTCGATACGGTCTATCGGGGATCGCAGAGCTCGGACAACTTAGAAACGTGCGTTTAAGACTACAGGTATTTATATTTTGATTTAAAGCCTTCGTGACTGCAGGGATTCATATTCTTGGTTCTTTCGGTAAAGTCACCACGTAGAAGGGAAACAATAAAATAATAAAAATATAAAACAATACAATTCTCACGACGTTTCGACTGCAACACAAGAAGCAATCATCATCAGGTGTGAAAACCACAGCAAGAAAATTTGAAAAAAGTTGCGTTTTTTTTAACGTTAGCACCACGGAGAGCGATTTGGCAGTTATTCAGATGGACGAGTCCATCTAAGTTCTGAAAAGAGGAGGGGGGAGACGAAAAATAATGGATGCGGTCTGAAAGCCACCTTAAGTGTGATCAATCAATTAAGACCCGAAATGGTTTATCAAATCCTTCCAATGATTGCTAAGCCAGAATCCATCTTCTCGGTTGAAATTGTCTCTGTGTTTGTATATGTGGATAGCCTCATGAACGAATCTCTCATGGTAGCCAGATGGCTTGCAAAGAACCTCTGTCTTGGAGAAGTCAATGTCATGTGAGCCCACTGAATTATAACAGTGATCTGCCACGGCCGAGGTGTTGGTCCTACCGTGTTTTAGGTCTGCTTTGTGTTCACGAATGTAGTCCGAGACATGTCGTTTGGTTTCTCCAATGTGACTACTACCACAGAGGCAAATTAGTTTGTAGACGCCCGGGTACTGTATTTCCGGAATCACATCTTTTACAGACAGAACCAGATCACGGATTTTATGTAATCTGTTGAATCGGACCTGGATCTTGTGTTTATTCAAGATTTTGTAGATCTTTTTTGTGATCCCCGCAATGTAGGGTAAAGTGATGGTTTTGAATGGCTCCTCAAGAGGGTCTTCTTCATGGTTGGAGTGATAGCTTTGCGGATTGTGAAGTCGGAATAGCCTTAAGAGCTTGGTGTACGTGCTTGAGTTCACTGGCTATGTGTTCCTGGTCGGATATGCATTGGGCTCTATGGTGCAGAGTCTTGATGAGGGAATTCTTCTGGGATGGATGGTGGTGGGAATCCGGTTTCAGGTAAGCATCCGTATGGGTAGCTTTCCTGTAGACAGAGTGGCTCATTGAACCATCAGGTCTCTTTTTTATTAGGACATCCAAAAAAGGTAGCTTACCATCTTTTTCGACTTCCATGGTAAATCTGATGGCTGGGTGTATGGAATTGATATGGTCGAAGAATTGGTCTAGAGCAGGCCGGCCAAGTGGCCAGATGACAAAAGTGTCATCCACGTACCTCCTCCATAAGGTTGGGCGTAGAGTGGCAGTCTGGATGGCGTCAGTCTCAAATTTCTCCATGAAAATGTTGGCTGCAACCGGAGATAGGGGGGAGCCCATTGGGGTGCCCTCAGTTTGTTTGTAGAAAGTTCCATTCCAAGTGAAGTATGTATTGGTTAAACAGTGTCTCACCAGGGGGGGTACCTCAGTGTTTAGTCCTTGATGAACCAAGTCTTCAATGATTGCGATGGTGTCAGGTACAGGAACTTTGGTGAATAAGGAAACTACATCAAAACTGACAAGCAGGTCTTCTGGGGACAGGGAAATACCCTTGATTGTCAATACCAGGTGAGTAGAATTTTGTACCGCAGAGGTGTTTTTTTCCAGTGAAAGGCCGCAGGATTTCAGACAGAAAACGAGCCAGTTTGTAGGTGGTGGAGTTGATAGTAGAGACGATGGGATGAAGGGGTGTATCTACTTTATGTATTTTGGTAAGCCGTATAATCTTGGTGGCCTGGCAGTAGAAGGTTTCAACGAGAACTGTTTGGTTTGATCAATTAATGCGGTTGAATCAGAAATTCCACTCACTCACCAACTCACTCAACAACTCACTCAGCCACTCACTCAGCTACTCGCTCGCTCAGTTACTCACTCGCTCAGCTACTCAGCCACTCACTCACCAACTCACTCAGTCACTCACTCACTCAGCCCCTGACTCGCTCACTCACCAACTCACTCACCAACTTACTCATCCACTTGCTCACTCACCAACTCACTCGCCAAATCACTCACCGACTCACTCGCTCACGAACTCACTCACCAACTCACGCAGCCACTCACTCACCAAGTCACTCACCAACTCCAAAATCTTGAATAAACACAAGATCCAGGTCCGATTCAACAGATTACATAAAATCCGTGATCTGGATCCGTCTGTAAAAGATGTGATTCCGGACATACAGTACCCTGGCGTCTACAAACTAAGTTGCCTCTGTGGTAGTAGTCACATTGGAGAAGCCAAACGGCATGTCTCGGACCGCATTCGTGAACACAAAGCAGACCTGAAACACGGTAGGACCAACACCTCGGCCGTGGCAGATCACTGTTATAATTCAGTAGGCTCACATGACATTGACTTCTCCAAGACAGAGGTTCTTTGTAAGCCATCTGACTACCATGAGAGATTCGTTCATGAGGCTATCCACATATACAAACACAGAGACAATTTCAACCGAGAAGATGGATTCTGGCTTAGCAATCATTGGAAGGATTTGATAAACCATTTCGGGTCTTAATTGATTGATCACGCTTAAGGTGGCTTTCACACCGCATCCATTATTTTTCGTCCCCCCCCCCTCCTCTTTTCCGAACATAGATGGACTCGTCCATCTGAATAACTGCCAAATCGCTCTCCGTGGTGCTAACGTTAAAAATAACGCCACTTTTTTCAAATTTTCTTATTGTGGTTTTCACACCTGATGGTGATTGCTTGTGTTGCAGTCGAAACGTCGTGAGAATTTCATTGTTTTATATTTTTATTATTTTATTGTTTCCCTTCTACGTGACTTTACCGAAAAAACCAAGAATATATAGTATTTATATTCATATTCTTAGTTTTTTCGGTAAAGTCACGTTGAAGAGAAACAACAAAATAATATAATATATATAAAACAATAAAAATTCTCACGACGTTTCGACCATAACTCAAACGGTTATCATCAGGTGTGTCATGCAAACCGACACACCTGATGATGACCGTTTGAGTTATGGTCGAAACGTCGTGAGAATTTTTATTGTTTTATATATATTATATTATTTTGTTGTTTCTCTTCAACGTGACTTTACCGAAAAAACTAAGAATATGAATTACTGCAGTCACGAAAGCTTTAAATCAAAATTTAGTATTTATATTGTTTGGCTGCTGGTGATAAGGGGCCGTCCATAAATGACGTCACGCGATTTTGGACGATTTTTGCCCCCCACCTCGTCACACGGCGTCACAAAAAGTCAGACCCCCCTCAAATATGACGTCACAAAGCTCTGCCCCCCCCCCCCAAATAAAACATGCTTCAAATCGTTTAAAACTATTGTCATTGTAGTGCGTATTTAATGTGGCGCTGCACTCTGATGTAGGAGAAAACATTTATCAAAAAGTATATTTAATTAAGTAGAACGTGTTGTCTATATTTATTTAAATTTGCGAATTTTGATGTGACGTCACATTTCTCACCCCCCCTCATTACACATCGTCACAAATGTCTGACCACCCCCACCCTTAGGTGCGTGACGTCATTTATGGACGGCCCTAAGCCACTTCGCTGGGCTATCGTTTGTGGCCTGGTCGCTTCTGAAAACGAGCTACGTAGCTCCCTGGGGACCTTGCCTGGTAATAAAATACAAAGAGTTTAGTTTTATTGTCGTTAGTGATTTGTTTATCTTTCCTATACTTTACACTCCCGTCGTGTCATTGTGGTTGTTGTTGTTGTAACGTTCTGACCCCGTGCCCCCTAAATGGACATCTGTGACAAAAAAAGAGTTTTACAGCTCATCGGATTCCAAACCTCCAGTCTCAACATTCTCATTCTGATCCTCACCACGTGTCGGAAACTACCCCCCCCCCCGTCACGTGTCACCTTAACATTGCCCCCCCCCCGTCACGTGTCACCTTAACATTGCCCAACCCCCGTCACGTGTCACCTTAACATTGCCCCCCCCGTCACGTGTCACCTTAACATTGCCCCCCCGTCACGTGTCACCTTAACATTGCCCCCCCCCCGTCACGTGTCACCTTAACATTGCCCCCCCCCCGTCACGTGTCACCTTAACATTACCCCCCCCCCGTCACGTGTCACCTTAACATTGCCCCCCCCCCCCCGTCACGTGTCACCTTAACATTGCCCCCCCCCGTCACGTGTCACTTTAACATTGCCCCCCCCCCGTCACGTGTCACCTTCACGTTGCCCCCCCGCCGTCACGTGTCACCTTAATATTGCCCCCTCCCCCCGGTCACGTCACGTGTCACCCTCACGCCCCAGTCACGTGACGCCGGCAGGCGCGTCCGTTGCCAAGGCGACGGCTCCCAGGCGACGACTGTACGTACAGTGCGGTTGCTATGAAGTTGTGAGTGAATGTTTCTTGGTTCGGAGCGACTTCGCTTTAAAGTTGTGAGGAGGCGAGGCTCGCGAGGGAGGGAGGGAGGCAGCGAGGGAGGTGAGTGTCCCCTGGGAAGGGTCGGCCTTAAAGTTGCCGACTTGTTTACGTTTTGTCGACTAACGATTGTAGATTAATTTATTGTAACCATTATCATCATCATTACAATCGGCAGCTATTGTCGAAACACTGCTGGGCGGTGGCGTCATCCTCTCTCTCCGCGACGGAAGATCTCTCTCTCGGCATCGTGGCATTCACTTAACGAAGTGTTCATGCTGCTCGGAATACGAAACTGTGCCGTCGCTTTAGCTTACATAGATTTATATATAGCAGCGCCTTATTCCAGGACGGTTTACATCAATTGTAAAATAGTACATGAGGTGATAGTGGTTGAGATTAAGAGTGGGGTTATTAGAATGTGGTGGTTAAGTTATGGTAACAGGAGAACAGGCGGGAGAGGTTAAGGAAGGGTAGCGATAGGGGTTGGGGTAGTGATAGGGGTTGGGGTAGTGATAGGGGTTGGGGTAGTGATAGGGGTAGTGGTATTGATAGGGGTAGTGATAGGGGTTGGGGTAGTGATGGGGGTAGTGATAGGGGGTAGTGGTATTGATAGGGGTAGTGATAGGGGTTGGGGTAGTGATAGGGGTTGGGGTAGTGATAGGGGTTGGGGTAATGATAGGGGTTGGGGTAATGATAGGGGTTGGGGTAGTGATAGGGGTTGGGGTAGTGATGGTATTGATAGGGGTAGTGATAGGGGTTGGGGTAGTGATAGGGGTTGGGGTAGTGATAGGGGTAGTGATAGGGGTTGGGGTAGTGATAGGGGTAGTGATAGTGGTTGGGGTAGTGATAGAGGTAGTGTTAGGGGTTGAGGTAGTGATAGGGGTAGTGATAGGGGGTAGTGGTATTGATAGGGGTTGGGGTAGTGATAGGGGTAGTAATAGGGGTTGGGGTAGTGATAGGGGTTGGGGTATTGATATGGGTTGGGGTAGTGACAGGGATTGGGGTAGTGATAGGGGTTGGGGTAGTGATAGGGGTTGGAGTAGTGATAGGGGGTAGTGGTATTGATAGGGGTAGGGGTTGGGGTAGTGATAGGGGTTGGGGTTAAGCCTGGTCGTATCTAGAAGCAAGGTAGCAGTAGCTTGCATGATATAGGCTAGGCAGGGGACAGAGACGGGGTTGTTCTAAGGGAGGAAGGGAAGCTGCAGGTTGTAGTGAAGATGTTTGCCCTGTATGCCCGCAGGGGCAGTTGATTCCAGGTGGAGGGGAGCGAGAAGGGAGGTGCAGAGGAAGAGATTGGGAGCACACAAGAGGGGCGAGAGACGCGAGACTGGAGATCTGAGCTACCATCGGAGGCCATAGGACTGCGAGGAGGACTGGGTGCAGATGCAGCACTTGTCGTAGTTAAAGCATAATTCCATACAAGACAGGGGGAACATAGACATAGAGTAGGGAGAGAGGGGGTGGAGAGAGAGGGAAGGGGTAAGAAGGGGGAGAGCAGAGCGTGAAATATTTTGTAAAATCTTTCATTTAAATGGGGGGGGGGGGGGGCACATAAAGCAAAGCATTGAATAAAAACCGAAATGATGAACGAAGCAAAGGGCCGACTACACCGAGCATCTTCTTGTTTCCTCTGATCGTAAAACAAAAATGAGGGGCGAGAGAAGGTGGAGCAGGATCATAAAAGGGATTTGTAGACTGGAGTGAGACGGTTTAAAGAGATGGCGATGGTAGACAGAGCCCGTGGTTTTTGTGTAGTAGAGGGGCACGTGTGGGAATTGTGGTGAGGGGGAGAGGTTAAAACGATTCGGGCTGAGGAGGCTTTTTTGCATCTGTTGGTCTTTAACCGTGTGGGAAGCGCCGTGTGGTTATCCGGGATTCGGGATAACCACGCTTGCGGAAAGATCAATTAACTTCACTGGCTGGGGCTGGGGGGGGGGTCTGGTTTCATTACGATAGCTGGCTCCTTCTCACTCATGTCGGCAAATTATAAATGTCGTTCACCTGAATAAGCTCGCAAGCGGCGACATCTCTCACGTTTATCCCCGATCTAAGACTGAAACGGGAGGATGATTTACCCACAACTGAGTGGCTGTCGCCTGACGAGGCTGTTGTTGTAATTACCGGCAAAACGTCAGGCTACTCGAATTAGGAATGTTGTAGTGGGTTTAACTCTCGAACACACAACCGGTTAGTGCTGAACTAGTAACTAATTGGCACGTTTTGTTTACGTGACAAATCTTTCCAATTGGCTGTGGCGGGTTTGACAACACGTTTATATTTACGTGTTGTCAAACCCCCCCCCCCCCCCCAAAAAAAAAACCCCTATATGATGAAGTTCCTTTATTGCGGATTCCGGTGTAATTTGTGTTGTTGTTCAGACTGAGCAGGTTCTATGTTTGAAAGAAAGTAAAGTGACTTGGAAAAAAAAACACACAAGCGGTTGAAGATGGGGTCAAGTTCGGACGAGTGGGGTCTGCGGCCGCGTTCAAGGGCCTTCTTGCGGCAAGAGGGCGAGATCAAGGACCCCGCGGGGACGCGGGAGTCGAGGCCCGGCAGCAGGGAGGGGGTGAACCCCGCGTGGAGCACCGAGGCCGCGCAGCAGCTACCCTCGTCAGCCTGGATCGCTCAGCACGGCCTCAAGAGGCAGAGGCTGTCCCTCCGGCACGTGCTGGCCAGGATCGGATTCAGACAGCGTGAGGGTGAGTCCTGCTCGCAGCATTGGGTAGCCACGGCGGAGAGATGTTCACTACCTCGCCTTGTATACAGGAGATTGTGGGTTCGATCCCAACCCTGACACCTGTTGTATATTTGGAGTTTGCGTGTCTCTCGCCCCGTGGCCGCGTGGATTTTTCTCCATGTCCTTCGGGTTTTCCCTGCATGCTAAAAATATGCCTTTAGAGTATTCTTTGGGTCTTTCGGTAAAGTTACTTAGGTAAAAAAAAAGAATAAAAATAAACACTACGACGTTTAGATCTTTTTTTTTACCTATCTCCGTGACTTTACCGAAAGACCCAAAGAATATGAATTCCTGCAGTCACGAAAGCTTTAAGTCAAGATTGTATGCCTTTAGAGTGTTTGGTCCACATGATAAGCCACTTCATTGATCGATCATTTGTGGCTGGGTCGTTTCTGAAAAAGAGTTGTTTAGCTCATTGGGCCTTACCTGGTAAAATATATATTTCGATTTAAAGCTTTCGTGACTGCAATGATTCATCTTCTTTGGTTCTTTCGTTAAAGTCACGTAGAATGAGAATATTATTGCGTTATTTTATTTTATCAATTTATTATTTTATTCTCATTCTACGTGACTTTACCGAAAGAACCAAAGAAGAAAATATATATTTTTAGTTAGTTTAGCTGATGGCTCAGGTGTGCTGATCCCTCCAGTCTGGCAGTGTGGAACAATCATTTACATTCCTGCGTTAATCCACTGCCAGATGAATGCCTCCCCGTTTGGTGTCAACGAGGTCAAGCTGTCAGACACTTCCAAAGTGCCGGTGAGCCTATGGGACGCAGGGTGTGACGTGTGAAGTGTCCCTGTTTCACGTTTGTGAGAGCCGCCTCCACCGTGGAGCCGGAGAGTTACAGTTCCTCTGGGAGAGACAGCAAGCAGTGGAATAAACGTGCGTTGTACACGACGCAGCAGATTCGACATCGGGTGGGTTTAGACTTCAGAGCAAAATTCCATTATAGTCTCATTGGCGCCGTGCGGTCGCTATGAAATTTTAACCTCTGAAAATATGTTGACATTTATGCCACCGCTCGCTGTCTTCCAGTGGAGCTGTCTGTCTCTTGCTCCACAGTGGAGGAAGCTCTCGCGACGTGAAACGGGGAAACTTCAAATGTTACACACCATGTCCGATAATAACCTAACCGGTTACTTTTGAAGCGTCTGATAGTCTGGCTTCAGTTGTTTGACCATGCTGTCCGTTGCTCAAAAAAGTTGCACTTAAGCGATGCGTATCATAAAGAATTAAAGCTTTCGTGACTGCATAAATTACTCATTGTTTATTTCGGTAAAGTCACGTATGTAGAAATACCATAAAATTATATTAAAATATATCAATCACGACGTTTCGACCGCAACACAAGCGATCTTCATCAGGTGTAAAAAACAAATCACAGAGGTAAATACAACAAGAAGATGAGAGACGAGAATTCAACAAACCTAAGAAAAAATATGTGATGCACAACCAGTCAGGCCAACAACACAGTTAGATACTTACCTGGTGGACATGTATGTGTATGTATGTTGAACTTCTTTCGCACCATATACATAGCTAACATGGCGCTAATCAAAGGTGCGGCAGAAGAACTGCGAAAAGGGACATTGACGCTGAAATTGCCATGACGGTGTTCCGTGTGCGTGTGCAGAATTTGAGCCGTCCCTGGGCCGGTTGGTGAGCTCCCGGTATGGCGAGGGTCGCTTTCTGGAGTACTGCCGGCGAGATGGGACTCTCTATAGGGTAAAAAGGTCACACCACTATAAATTATCCAGATTCTCTACGTGATAGATTATATATATTCTTACCACCGTAGATTCCAAAGATTCACACCACACAAGATTCTTCATTCTTCATAAAACTATAGGTGCTGTAGTTTCACAACACTATAGCTTGTAGTCATACTGCTGCAGATTCTCTAAATCGCACCATTGCAGCTGGTACAGGTTCTAGATTCTCACGCCTATAGATTATATAAGGGAAAAATGGCAATCAAGTCATCATCCAAACTCGTGACAATTTGATTGAATTATGCAACCCTGTTCGCCGTCACTGCCGACCATATCGTACGGTGCCAGGAAGCAGCTTAGCCCGAGGCAATCTGTCGTGGCGCCGAACACATAAAACAAGAGGTATTCGAAAGCTTGGAAGCTTGCTTTTCAAAGCGCTGTCCATTGTGAGGCTGCATTGCAACCGAAAATAGCATTTAGTGTAATGCCTGCCACGACAGCCCCCCACCAGAATCCTACATAATCTGGTTGTTGCATGGTGGTCATCCATCTGAGCCATGGTGAGACAATCCTCCATCCGAGATGCGTGACAAACCAGACACGCTCCAAGTGTTTTGTACTGTGTTTGTATTTCTGCCATCGCTCTCATTTGTACCAAAAACGAGACATGCTCCTGCAGAGGATTGTGTGCGGTTCTGCTATGTAGCTCACCGATGTGTTTTCGGGCTGTACCGCGTGTTGCTCGGCATGATGTCCAATGTTTTTGCCGCGCGTGCGGGGAGCTTCTCCGGGAGCGAAACGTCAGACATCGTGCGGGACAACACGCGTCACAACCCGAAAACGCACCGGAGAGCTATCGGGGAGACTGCTAGTCTCACTGGATGACCCTCGCGTGGTGATTGATCGAATTAATGATCGATTGCACAGCGGGGCCGCTGACGGGGCCCGACCGCGTGTGGTTTAAATTTTGATTTAAAGCTTTCGTGACTGCAGTAATTCATATTCTTAGTTCTTTCGGTAAAGTCACGTTGAAGGGAAACAACAAAATAATAAAATATATATAACAATAAAAATTCTCACGACGTCTCGACCATAACACAAACGGTCGAAACGTCGTGAGAATTTTTATTGTTTTATATATTTTATTATTTTGTTGTTTCCCTTCAACGTGACTTTACCGAAAGAACTAAGCACACGCGTGTGGTTTGTTTTGCAAACACCAGCTGACGGTGAGCCGCGCTGAGCTGGAGAGCCTGGCCGAGGCGGTGTGGCGCTGCGAGCAACTCTACCGCGAGCGTCTGCTGTGGCTCGGCTCAGGCTCGCGCCGGGCATTCGGCGTCTTTCACGAGCGTAGCGTCGCGCTGGTGCTGTATGACGGCGGCGGTATCGACGTTGGTGGCACCGGAGATGCTGACGGGGGCGCACACGAGGGACGCTTCCGAGCCCTGCGCCAGGCGCTCGTCCTGCTGGTTCAAGAGCAGCTGGCGCAGATGGAGCGGTTTAACGTGATCCGGTACGGATGGGCGCATCGCCGCATCGTGATCGTGATTCAGAAGTCAAAAGGGGCGGCGGCGCTGTAATGATTCGTGCTTTTCGTCGATGACATTAATCGTCTTGATAATTCTAGGATTCATTCTGTTATTGAACTCATTACGTAAAACATAATATGTACGAGTACAGCCCCGTGTCAAGCCTGGATGAGAGCCTCTTCAGTCGTGGGATATATTGGACTACATTTCAACGCGCTGATCAGTGCGGGTTAGTTAAGGTGGCTTGTACAATCCAGGCTCAAAACTGCTTAGCTTCTGAGATCCGACAAGATTGGGTGCATTCAGGAAGATTTCGTTATAAACTATACACCATATATACGGATCCACTCTCTCGTGACTCAATGACTATTTTGTGAACCTAAGTAGTGATACGAATACATATTAAGCTATGCATCACTACATCCCTTCGATCTGGCCAGTTGTGTTTCTCTGGCTGTACATGCGCGTGTGTGTCACACAGAGACAAAGAGGAGTGGTGGTACAATGGTCAGCGCAGTGCGCTACAAACCCGGCGACCCAAGTTCGATTCCCGCTCACGACAACTCACAGTGGCGAATATTTGAACCGGTCCTGGGGCTTCCCTAGGTCGACTCAGCCTCAAATGAGTACCTGGTGCAGTGTGTAAATATTGCCACTGGGGAGACAAAAGCGGTCAGGCGTGGTGCTGGTCTCCCACCCCCTCGTGTGCCGTGCCGGCCTTCATAGGTGCTACTCCCCAACAGCACTTTCCCCAAAAGTCTGTTAAGGCTACACGGGGGGATCTTTGTGTTTGTGTGCATGTGACACAGCGCGGGTGACACTCTGGCGGCGTGGCAGGAGCGTGCCGTGCCGGTGACGCCACAATCGCTGCTCTCCGCCTCGTCCTGGCTCCGCTCGCTGGAGGCACAGGCCGCGCCCTGCGGCGGCACGGCCTGCGCGGAGGCGCTGACGCACGCGCTGGGGGACCCCACGGTGAGAGCCGAGCACCACTAGACTCTCACCGGTGTTCTCAGCGTTCAGTCGGTCAGCAGAGCCCACGCACGCGAGCGTACAGTCGGAGGTCCGGGGGAAGGGACGACAAACTGAACTGCTTTTTGCGTCCAGTTTGTTGTCCTTCCCCCCCACCCCGCACCTCCGATTAGCACGGTTGGCTACGTACGGTGCGAAAGAAGTTCAACGTACATACATACAAAGACAAAGATCCCCCACCTAACCATTTAGCCTATAGGGGCAAGTGATGTTCAATAAGCGTTACTTTTTTTAAACCGTGCTCCAGAGTCCCCCTGAATGCTTCGAAAGTGTTTCTGCCCTAAGAGATAATAATTTTGGAAAATATGGCAAAATTAGTTAACCAGGTAAGGCCCACCGAGCTACATAGCTCTTTTTCAGAAGCGACCTCGCTATCACAAATGATAGCTCAACTGAAGTGGCTTATCACGTGGAAATTTATAGCAGCCAAATACTCTAATCGCATGCTTCCAAACGTGGGGAGAAAAATCCACGCGACCACGGGGAGAGAAACACTCAAACTTCAAATATGCAACGGGCGTCACGGTCAGGATCGAATCCGTGACCTCCTGTATGCCAGGTGAGTTAGTTAACATCCGGCCACCGTGCCGCTCTGGCCCCCCCGGCCCGCCAGGTGGAGGCGGTGTGCCTGGTGGTGGCCGGGCCCGTGGAGGGCGTGTTCCGTGAGCTGATGAGGAAGGCGGTGCGGACGGCCGGGCGTCCCGTGCACGTCGCTTGCGTTGACGCTGCCGCCCCGTCGCCCTCGCGCTCCTTCTTGCGGGAGATCGCGGACCTCACGGGTGGCAGGTGAGAAGCTCGTGGGATGGTGGGCTTTACCTGGTCAGATAAAAAATATCTACGGGACCTTTGTTGCCAGTATCAAAATGATTCTGGTCTAACACTGGTGGTGAGACAAGGCCATGAAGAAAGCTGCTATCTCTGGTGTAGGCCAATCAGTTTCATTATCAGAGCATGTTTGTTTGCATGTTTGTTTGCATGGTTTGCCACAAGTACTGTGTGGGTTAATGCAGACTTGATGCCTTGCAAAAGTTATCTATTTGGTGTTTGAACATCTTAACACCTCCTGTTTTATTGCCAGAAAGGGTCAAACCTATTTTTATTGTTTCATCAATATTTTTTATTTTTATTTTATTTTTTTAAAGTGATTTTCTTACCATTTTATCTATTTTGCACTCCTTACATGTTTCTGTATTGTTATTGTAACGTTCTGACCCGCCCCTGCTGGACATCTGTGAAAAATAACTTTATCGCTCATCGGATTTCCTCCAGTAAAAATAAACATTGTTAATCTGATTCCTCTTCGGGTTTGTTTTGGAGTTTTACCCCATGTCGTAGTGAGATGGAGGCGCCGATTAGCATCTCCGTCGGTACAACGTTGATGCCGTCCGTTGCCGCAGGTTCCACACGTGCGTGCTGACGTCTTTCGCTGAGTCCGTGTCCCTCGCCCGCGACACCGCGGTTTCAGCCTCCCAGCCGCGTTCTTCCCAGCAGTGCGGTAAGGGTGACTCGAGCGGCGGGACAGCCCTTAGCGCTCGCGTGTTTTTACTCCGTTAACGTGGGGACGAGAGTGAAACCTCTTCGATGAGAAAAGAGAAAAATAACGCAAACTGGAAGCTGATTGAAATTAGAAAATGGTAGCAGACTGTCACGACCAGTTAAATGCCCATTGTGGGGGAGAGAAAAAAAACTATTTTAGTTTAGGGAGATCATTACACATTTGGTCATATTATATATATGTGTGCATGTGGATGGGATTTTTCCAAATGTTGTAATGGTTCACACACTGGACCTGCAATCCAGAGGTCTTCGGTTTGATCTCCCTGGCATGGCAGTTGCAACAACGGTCGATCGATAGGTTGCGCTTGGTGGACGGACGTGTGGGCAACCCCCATCTCTTCCAAGATGTCAGGCTCGTGTGGAAGAGTAGTCCAAATACCCTCTAGAGGGGCTCTCGAGTGCTCGCTCTAGTGGTGGCGCTGCCGCCAGTGGTGGCGCGGGCAAACGGTTGCAGGGCTGTGCGCTCACCTTCTTAGTTAAAGAAAATAAATTTAAACTTTCCAACTGGTGTACTTTGCAACCGCGGGTCGCTGCAAGTTGACCGTCGCATGAAACTAAGATAACGCAGGTGTCTTGCGACCCGCCCCCCACCACCTCGCCTCGTTGGCGGGTGGCAGTGGGCGTTCAGCAGGATGTGTGGGAGGTTTGGAAGGAGAGGGAGGAGGCGTCGCAAATCCTCGGGGAGATCCGCCTCATCCTACGGGAGATCTCCGCTCCCTCCGCCACCTCTGGTCCGTCCACGACCTCCGCTCCTTCTCCACAACGTAAGGCGTCGTGACATTGCAGCACAGGCCTTTGTCCATTATCAAAACTTAACGATAAACTATGTTTTATTTTACCAGGTAAGGCACACTGAGCTATGCAGCTCTTTTTAAGAAGTGACCCGGCTATCACAAATGATAGCCCAACGAAGTTGCTTATCGCGTGGAAATTTATAGCACCCAAATACTCTAAACGCATGTTTTTAAATACAGAGGGAAAAACCGGAGGACTGGGAGAAAAATCTACACGAGCACGGGGAGAAAGACACTCAAACTCTAAATATACAGCAGCAGGCGTCAGGGATGGGATCGAATCCACGACCTCCTGCATACCAGGCGTGGTAGTTAACATCTCGGGGGAGCACGGTGGTGCTCCCACGGCGGCGATTTTGCCAGAATCACACGGGGACAAACCGCATCCCGCAGTCACCGCGCGCCACGTCCACCACACCATCCGCGTGGACGAAGGCGCAGTGGCCCAGCGCCGTGTGCAGTTATAAACAGAGGGGGGAAAAGGAAAGCCCTTCGCCTGGACTTAAACGGGGGCCGGGAGTCAACAGCACGGAAGGTTGGAGGAAGAGCGAACGACGCGGCAACTGCCGACCCCGGGCTTCTCGTTCCGCAGGTCCAAGCCGGAGCGCGTGCCAGAAGTCGTGGCCGTGCGTCCCCTACAATCGGTGCGACGCCGCCGCCGCCGCCGCCGCCTCCGCCGTTGCCACCTACGCCGCCGCCGCCGCGGAAGATGCCGATTCGTGGAGCGAGGACTGCGCGAGCGTGCGGAGCGACGAGGCCGAGCAGAGCTCGCGCGCGTGGCTCGCTCGCTACGGGCTGGAGGCGCGCGGCCTCGCGCTGCACACGGCGCTGGGGCGCTGCGCGTTCCGCCACGCCGACGGCGTCGTGGACTCGGCACACGGCGACTGCGTGAGTGTCCGGCGGGGGGTGGGGGGAACGCTCCCCTGTTGCCCCCGTGCGATTCTGGCAAAATCGCCACCGTGGCGATGTTAACTACCTAACCTAGTATGCAGGAGGTCGTGGGTTTGAGCCTGACCCTGACGCCTGTGTAATTGGAGTTGGCGTGTTCTTCTTGTGGTCGCGTGGATTTTTCCCTCCACATTTAGAATCGAAATCACGCGTTTAACTGACTTTGGCTGCTATAAACATTTTCACGTGATAAGCCACTTCTTTTGTGGCCAGGTTGCTTCTGAAATAGAAAAATAGTTCATAGTTTAGTTCAGATTACGATTGAAGGCCCATGCTGATTTGTTTATCTTTCCTACACCTTGTACTCCTATTGTGTTTTTTGTATTGTTTTGTAACGTTCTGACCTCATGCCTCCACTGGACACCTGTGAAAAAGAGCTTTACTGCTCACCGGTATTCCTCCTGCAGTGTAAATTAATAATCTGCTTCTGCTTGTGCGTGCGCGCAGGGCCGGCGGCGGCGCGTGCTCGTGAACGCCCGCTACTGCTCGTGTTTCGTGCACACGCTGTGGGCCGACGGGGCCCTGGTGCACGTCTACGTGCCCGAGCGCGTCTACCGAGACTACGCCGTGCGCCTCACCGCCGCCCTGCGCCTCATCCAGAGCAGGTGGAGTCTACCACGGCGCCGACAACGTGTGTGTGTGTGTGTGTGCGCGCGTGTATGTGTGCGGAGTGGTAGTGTAGCGGGTTAGCGCGCTGCACTACAAATCCGGCGAGCCAAGTTCGATTCCGGCTCACGGCCAACACCTGTGACGATTATCTGAACCGGTCCCTGGGCCTCCACTAGGTCGACTCAGCCTCAAATTAGTACCTGGTGCAGTGTGTAAACATCGCCACTAGAGAGACAAAGGCGGCCGGGCGTGGTACTGGCCACCCACCCCCTCTTGTGCCGTGCCGGCATTCATAGGTGCTGCTCGCTTACAGAACTTGCCCCAACATTCTGTTAAGGCTGTACGGGCGATCTTTGTCTTTGTTTTATCATGTAGATTGTTGATTACCTTGTGCTGTATAAGGTGTTGGGTTTTGTAAGGTGTTGGTTGGCTTGTGTAGCTGTTGATTTGCATGTAGTGGTAAAATATATTAAAAAAATATTACTTAGGACGAACAAAGCAGTGATCCTAGATAGAGGAAGAGATCCATGCCGATTAACTGACGGATTGGACAGACGATGCGTTGTGTATACATGGGTTGGATTGTGTTTGTGTGCGTGTAGATGTTGGGTTGTGTAGGTGTTGGTGAGTGCAGGTGTTGGGCTGTTTGGGGGTCGCTTTGTGTAGGCGCAGGTGAGTTGGTCCGTGGTGGTCACGTCCATGCCTGTATGTCCCCCAGGCTGGAGTGGCTGCAGAGAGGCAGCCGTGCTCTGTTTGGGTCGATTGTGGAGGACCGTGTGTACGTCCTGATCGACACCTCCCTCTCGATGGAGGACAAACTGGACCTGCTCAAAGAAAAGCTCTATCTCCTCATCGACGTGAGCCGGTCGATATGCACTTGACGCTTTATGGCCACCATAGTGTTTTGTTTTTTCTCCCCCCAGGTAAATGCTCATGGTGTTCTCCGCATCACGTCACGAGTCAAGTTTGCATTTTTTACTCTCGGAGCAAGCAGTGCAACATCCCAATACTGATGATAATAATGATTTGATGATGATGATGATGATACCACTGATGATTTGATGACGACGACGATGATGATGTGATCGATGAGAATGCTGAGCCTTAATGGACCCAACAGGAGCAGCTCCGGTACAAATCCGGCTTCAACCTGGTGAGGTTTGGTTCCCGCGCCGGAGCCTGGCGTCGCCAAATAGTCGACACCACCGAGAGCCACCTGGACGACGCCAGAGCGTGGGTGGAGAGTTTAGAGGTACACGAACCTTCGGCAACAACAGCTGCGTACCTTCTCATTCATTCGTGGAGTATATATATACATACAAATGGTAGATAATCGATTATCCGAAGGCTTCCAAGGGGAAAGGGGTGCCGGATTTTCAAAAGCGCCGGATAATCACTACATCATCATTATTTACAATAGCTTATTTTTGTACATTCTTGCATAGCATTACGTTTTCAGGTGTTGCACATACGTTAATGTTTTTTTTAGTGTCTTAATTGTGTTTCCAGTCTAAAAATTGGCAACAAGATTAACATGCATGTAGAAACAACTAAATATCCCATTGTAAAATGTTACTGTGTTTACTGCACCGTACTTACTGCTCCAATCTCGAGGGTTCTGTATCACGGGGTGATGTGCGTAGCATGACTCCGCTCTCGTTTCAACAGCTTGATGTGTTTGACGATCACCAGCCTGATGCGAACACTTTTCGCCGGATCGCACTATCCATTATCTGTTTTTATTACTGTAGTTATTAGTCATGTAATATGTATACGTGTGCCGTATTTTAATCGTTTAAATTGTTGCACGCAGTATATAAGCTACCGTTTCTAATATTTGACACTGAAATCAAGCATGGCTACTTTTTTTTGTCACGAATGTGGTGCCGATCGCCAGACTGGTTTCAGCCTTTGGAGCAGTTTTGCCGGTTTCGCCAGATTGGCCCTGGACCGCAGGATAATCGTGCGCCGGATGATCGATGGTCAACTGTGTATATTTCTTCACCTTATCATTTTGTTAATCTCTTTCACATTTCATCGCGATCTTGCTATCGGTCTCGTGTAATGAGCCAAAGTATCCACTCGGATCTCTCGTAGAGCAGTGCAATGCCTCATGTTGGAGAACGCCACAAGGAAGTGGATATTACAGATCTACCTCCTGAGATCCCTTCAATCGACCTCTTTTGCTACACAATAGGGGGCAGCACATTCCCACCTGCTCTGCCACACCACCTCTCGCGTGCGCCGCGCCGGCCTTGAACGGATTCTCGCTAGCACCCAATAGTCTGTATATGTTACACTGGCGATCTTTCTTCTAAAGTGTTTTTTTTGTACGTGTGTATGCACGTGTAGTGCTGTTAGCGGGCAGCGCCTATGCAGGCCGGCACAGCACACGAGGGGGTGGGTGGCCAACACCGCGCCCAGCCGCCTTTGTCTCCCTAGTGGCGATGTTTTACACACCGCACCAGGTTCTCATTTGCGGCTGAGTCCTCCTAGGGGAGGCCCAAGACCCGTTCAGATGATCGTCACCGGTGTTGGCCGTGAGCGGGAATCGAACTAGGGACGCCGGGGTCGTAGTGCAGCCCTCTGACCGCTAATATCACTTGTCCCAACATTATTTTAAGGCTATATGGGGGATTTTTGTCTTTGTACGTGTAGGCAGTGCACGCGAATAGCACTTGCCCCAAGGGTAACAGGTTATTCTGGGGGGGGGGTGATCTTTATCTTTTGTAGGCGGGTGGATCCACGGACACCTTGGGGGCACTGAGGCTGGCCCTCGGAGATCCAGCCACTGAGGGAGTCTACCTGCTCAGCGATGGACGTCCAGATCAGGTGCCAAACCCCCATTAAAGAAATTGACTGAACATCACGGTGCAGCAGGGCCCTCCTGAACAAGGGTCTCGACTGAGTGAGACCTTCCTAGCGTTATTGTTGCACATGTGATTGATCTCACTCTGCGATGGAAAATTAGAGCGTGGTTGTTGTGAGTGCATGCAGAGATTGCATTTGCTTGTGAGGTTAGTCCCAATGTGGCCCCATACCTGTCAACCCACACGGTTTACCCCGTATTCTTGTACAGGGAAATTGAATTTTCAGGTCCATACGTACAGCCGTTTCAATACGGGCAAAAAAAAATGTCTCTTTGTTTGTGTTTCTCTCTTGTGATGGGACTTTGTAGGATGAACGTTGATATTTATAAGGGTACAGGGTGACCAATAAGGTCTGACTTGGTCTGTAATAAGCTGGCACTGATAAGGGGTTGACAGCTATGTGGCCATCACTTCTTTCGTATGTATGGGATAGAGCGTTGCCCCCTTGGACACCCGAAATTTGTGTTGCTTCGGTTTCCTCCCACATATAAACACTCATTAATTGGCCGATTATTCCTTACTGTTATTATTCCTTACTATATGCTTGTGTGGTGATCGAAACGTCGTGATCTGTTATTTTTTCAACCTACGTGACTTTACCAAAAGAACCAAAGAATAAGGACAGAGGAGTTTGGGTACCGGTAATGTTGGCCCTGGCTGACCACATGGCTTCCATTCCCACCTGTGAGTCATTCTCTCTCTTCAAGAGCTAGTGAATACTCTTCGCGTTACAAGTTGAAATTTGTGTTGTATTTTTTGTGTAATGACTGTTTTTGAATGGAGAAGGTTGGTAAACCCCTTGGGAACGTGTTGGAACGGAGGTGCTACTTCAACCCTATCCCTGTGTTTCACCGTTAACCCTGTGTTTAACCCTTACCTACTATTTTACCCTAACCCTGTACTTAACCCTGACCCTGTCCTGTAATTAAACCTAATCCAGCTTCCCACTACAGTGTTCTCCCACGTGCGCTACGACGCTTAACCCCTAAACCCTCACCTTCACCCTACCCACATACCTTAACCCTGACCCTGCATTTAACTCTGAATGCCGTTTCGTGACCCTTGCATTTTTAACCCCCTTCAATTCAGCCTCCCAGGACGGTGCTCTCCCACGTGCGCTACGACCCGCCGGTGCCCGTGCACACGGTGAGCTTCTGCTGCGAGGACGCGGCAGCGGCCGACTTCCTGCACAGCCTGGCGAGCGACACGGGCGGCCGCTACCACGTCTACCCGCCCGGCGGCGCTCCGCACACGTTGCCCCCCGCCGCCAACGGGGACGATGACGAGCCGTGCGCAGGCGAACCTGCGCAGGATGGGCCGCCGCGCCCCTACACGGTACGAGGGCCGGCTCATCAATATCTATTGTAATGGTTCATTGGGTTCGATGGTGTAAATATAAATGTGTCGTTAAACCCGCCGCCACCCGACACCGCGTAAACATCTCACCGCCGATCTGCTTAAGTTTTATAGTCTACTGAGAAAACTTATATCTGCTGATTCTGGACCACGATCCGTTATGGTTCCAAATGCCAGCCAGGCTCCGCGATTGTGGAATTGCCTTCCTCCTCGGTTCATTCGGGAATCTTGAGTTCTGTTACACTTTTTGAATCGCGTTTTTAAAACTCACTTGTTGTTACAACAGGCTCTCTCCATCACTTAACCCTTTCCCGTTCCGAGACGTCTGCAAGTTGCAGGGTGGGTGTCCGCGTTCACCGCTGAAGCTTGAACGCGCAAGCGACTCGACGTTTCTTTAATTCGAGAGGCATAGTAACGCCGTTGTTTTTAAAGACATTGCACTCACCGCAGAGAACTCTAGCGGCACGACCGCACTTTATGATAGCTGGCGCAAAACTTTTTGCCACACGCCCCTCCCGCATGGCTTTGTGGGAGCCTCGGTGCGCCTGCCGACCTGAAGACGTACGAGTACGCAGGGCAAGTAAGGCTGCCTTGTTATTCCAGAGCGAGGATGTGCGCCTGCTGGAGGAGGAGCTGGCGAGGGGGGCGCGGGATCTGGAGCGAGCCGGAGCTCTTCGTGCGGAGTGCGTGCTGCTGGATTGTTACCACAACGGGCTGCGCACACGGTACAACGACAGCCGCCGCTCGTCACTTGTGCCAGGCTAGGTGTGCGTGGAGGGGCACGTGAATTGGCGAAGGCTCGCGAGCAGGGTGTCGCGCGACAGAGCCGGATGTTCCGAAGTAAAATATTTTTTGACAATTTAGAAGAAGAAAATATAAAACAGAGGTAGCTGTGTGGCCGCACAACCAATGACGTCTCAAAGGAGTGAATGAGCACCATTTGAGATCCTGGGTTCGAATCAAGGTTTTAGCTGCCCGTGATTACATGGCAAGCCTAATCACTTGGCAGTCTCAGCCCAGTCACCCAAGGCTCCACAAAAACAATCGTATTAAATTTGATTCGTCGTTTAATTTGTCTTATTATAGTTCTGACGAATAAACATTTACATTTCAATTGAAAGTTATTTGGGATTAGATCGGGAGCCAGTGGGGTGATGTGGTCTGTGATGGTGAGGAGTCTGGCGATGGAATTTGGATCGATCTGGAGTCTGGAGATGAGCGGAGGGAGTCCGCACGCGGAGTCGGGATGCGACCTGAGACGCGTTGGCCCCCGAGGGACCAGCCGATGTTGTTGACGACGAAGCTGGCGGGACTTTCTGTTACCCCCTCTGCTCGTGTTTTGTCCTCCCACAGTCCAGAGAATTCCCGCGGCTCCGCCAGCCCCGACTGCAGCCAGGGCCGGAACAGGCACCCCCAGGGCCATCCTCCCCATACCAGGGACACCATGTGTTGGGGCTCGGCCCCTCCTCAACCCCCTCCGCGCCGCCCGTCACCCCAAGAGCTGGCGCTCAGGAAGCACAAGTGGCGCAACTTTGCGTTGGAGGAGCTGGCGACCAACAGGGGATTGTACCCGGGTGGGTTTGTCACTACCATCGCCCCAGGACTCGTACGAGTGATGTGATCATGATGGCGATGGAGGCGTTATCCAAATTGCTAGGTACCTTGTGGTAGAAGGAAGAGAGCCCGTAATTTTTTTAATCTGTCACTGCAAGCATCTCAGCCACACTGATTGGTAATTAGAGGGGATATTTGACCTGACAGCACCGTGTTTGTAATCTTAGCCTGTTCAGTCACTGCAAGGGGCCTCTCTGTACTCGGATTGCTGTTCCATGACCGTGAGGGCGGCACCGTGTGTTGTGCGCATGCCTGTAGGGTGTGTGCACGCGCGCGTTGCACGTCAAACCGACTTGTTCTTGGACAATGCTATGGTTCGTGTTAATGTGTGGTTGTCCGCCAAAACGGTGGTGTAGCGGTTAGCGCTACGCCACCGGCGGCCCGAGTTCGATTCCCGCTCAAGGCAAACACCAGTGATGATTATCTGAATTGGTCCTGGGCATCACCGAGGTCGACTTAGCCTCAAATGAGTACCTGGTGGTATGTAAACATCGCCACTAGGGAGATAAAGGCGGCCGGGCGTGGTGTTTGCCACCCACCCCCTTGTGTGCCTTGCTGACCTTCATAGGTGCTACTCTCAACTAACTTTTACTCTTTATTTGACCAGGTTAGGCTAACAGCACTTTCGCTAACAATCTGTTAAAGGCTATATGGGGGATCTTTGTCTGCCAAAGGCTTTTCAAAGTCACATTCTTTACCTAAAGAACCAAAGAGTATGGATCGTATTCAGCCCTCAATAGGGAACTGGCTCCCTGCACTCTGCGAGATCATCCTCCAAGGATGGCATTACGGGATTTGCCTGCGATCGTTCTGTCATTCCGACGCAGCCCACACACGCTCCAGCCTCTTGCGGGCCCTGCACGGAGCTGCCGGTGGCTCTGAGGTCAAGGCAGCTGGGTCACGGGCTGCCCTTCCTGAGCCACAGTGGTTGCTGCCAGAGAGTGGACGGCTGCTGGACACGAACCTCCGCAAGGAAGCAGTCGCGCTGGGCGGTCAGTAAGCCATGCGTGCATTCGGGCAATTTTGTGTTTCGTAATGGAATGAAGTTGATGTTTGAACTTAAAAAAGGAGAAGTTGGATGTGTTCCAGCTGGCTCGGTGGCATCATTACGTTTTGGAGGGCTGAGCCAGCACTGTCGGCAAGGTTTGGTCGAGCCTGGGTTTCAGCTGTCTTTGAATAACCTGGGTTCTCCATGGCGCTGCCTTTTGTCAATCCGCTGTTTGACGAAAGGCTGATCTCACGCCGTGTCGATCGTTGCAGGTTGTGGGATGATACTTCATGCTGATCGGTACTGGGTTGATCAAGGGGGAGGCCCGGTTGAGATATCGCTCGCCGCCGACGTTAGCTGCGGAAGAGAATCGAACACAGATCGCCGTGTTCATTGCGCGGCGCGTTAACTGCGGTGCTGCACTGCACCGCACTCTTTCTCGTTCTCCAGAGTTAATGGAAGAGAAGTCAAAAACACCAAAAGCCAAAAAGAAAACCTCAAAAGAGTGAGTTGATAGAAGTCTGCCTTTTTTTATTCATAAGTTTTTCCATAATCGCTATGTACGTGCACTTAACGTGTTCAAGTATTTACTGCATTGAACTTCTTTCACACCGTACGTAGCCAACCGTGCTAATCGGAGATGCAGGGGGAGGACTACAAACTAAACATAAAAAGCAGTTCTAAAGAAATGAGTTTGTCAATCTAAATTATTTAAAAGTTCAGAGCTTTGGTGGCTTACTAATATAGGCAGCAAGAGCGTTCCAGACGGCCGCAGCAACACATCTGAAAGCGTGCGATGCGGTAACCACCGCATTTGTTTGATGGCCGAGCCAAAAGCCGCCGCTGCGAGAACGACCGGAGTTTGCGCGATGATGGTTTTATGCTCCATGACGAGATCAGCGAGGTGTAGTGGTTCGTTTGTGGCGAGCACTCTGCCCGTGTGTGTGTAATGTGTGCGGCCTTATAACAACGCATTAGTTCAAGTGTCTGCTGCCGTCCCTTTCCCCCTCGGGTCACAGCTGGCTGGCACGGAACAGTTTGGTGGCCAAGAGGTTGACCATAATGGACGCTCTGCAGCCAACAGCCCTGCCCGTTTCGGCCACCTACGTTCCCATCCTGGGAAAGAACGTGCACTCCAAAGTGTTCAACGAGGTCTGTCAGATCTTCCTTCTGCTGCACTGTCAAACGAAGCGGTCAAAACATGGGGGTTTTTTCGGTTAGATTTTTTGGGTTACGTAATCCAACCCAAAAGAAAAACTGTATTATGGATGATGTTGGTCGCGAAAGCCTACGTGTTAAACTGAAAGCAGTCAGAGCGCGCGTCTCCCGACTTGCTAAAACAAGCGACGGACAGTGGTAATGTTGACTGACGATCCAGAACTAGTGGGGAGGCAATCTGCTTGTTAGGACACGCGCTGATTTAGTTCAGCGTACGGATAATGTATCGATGCAGCATCGCTTGCTGTGCTCACCGTACGTTGATGCATTATTTGAATTACGTGTGTGTTATAATCGATTGTTTTCAACTCGTATATGTTGTATGTGTTTGAGCCACATGACAACCACAGATATAATTCATCTTATTGCATAATGACTGCTTGGGGAGTTTGGTGAATCGATGCATGCCAAGTAAAAAGACATGATGAAGATTCTGACGGCAGTGATGATTATGACAACGATGTTGATTATGACGACAATGATCGCGTGTCCCAGATTATGCCACTGGCGTTTGAGTCTCACGGCGGTGCACGCGTGCAGCTGGTGAACCCGCTCGCTGTGAACCTCACTGCTTACGAGGCTCGGCTCACCAAGCAGATCGAAGCTTACGAGAAGTGAGGGGGCACCGCCTTACCGGCACCACTACTCCCATCGATCCGTTGTAATGTCGACATCTTCACAGAGAAGTAACATCCGACCGCTGATCCAACCAGACTTTGGTTCAGCCCCCAAGCACCACCGCACTTAGTCGCTCTACGGGTTTATAAATTCTCCTCTTGGGTCGATTGCATAGAAGCAGTTGACTGACATTGCCCCCCTTGATTCGAACGTTTATGAGAGTCTGCTGGTTGACAGACAACCGTGCAGAGTGCTTCACAGGATAACTCGTGTTCGTTTAAAATGACCAAATGTGGCGTGACATCACTTTACTTCTAAAAACCTTGCATAGACATACATCGTACTGATTACTTCTCATAGGTGACCTAAACCAACGGGAGCCCTTTTTAACCCGAGTTCAAAACTAAATTTATTTAGTCCGCATTGTCACTAAACCATTTGTGGTAAACTGAACGACGATGTTGTCCTATCAAGAGGCAAATACCCATACTGGAGTGCAGCGTAACATCACCCCATGCAAAACAAAATAACCTTTGGAAGACGACATCACATTATTATCATTACTATGAGATTGCTTCAATGAAAGCTCGAGTTATGATTTTACAACCGACTCATTTGTTTTTTTTTGTAACACAGACACCTGGACTCGATGGTGTTCCAAGCTCTGCCCGAGAAGCAGAAAGAGAGGTGAGAGTGTGTGAGCGGGGAGCGGCGTGGTTACCAAGTGTGCAGTCGGTGCCACTGCAATCGATGCCTCTGGGCTGGAGGGGCCCAGGTGCTGGCTACGTTGAAGGCGGGAAGGCGTGGGCCACTAGACATAGGCAACGCACGCGACATGTTAACTACCTCGCCTGGTATGCAGGAGGCCGTGGGTTCGATCACCAGCCTGACACCTGTATATGTGGAGTTTGCGTGTCTCTCTCCCCGTGGTCACGTGTTGTTTTCTCCAGGTCCTCCGGGTTTTCTCTCCAACATTTAGAATCGGCGTCACGCGTTTCAGAGTGTTTGGCTGCGACAAATTTCCACGTGATAAGCCACTTGGTTCAGCTATGGTTTGTGACAGCCAGGTCACTTCTGAAAACGAGCTACGTAGCTCAGTGGGGCCTTACCTGGTAACGTAATAAAATGTTAATGAAAAAATGTTGTCCTACCTGATGACGGTTGCTTGTGTTGCACTCGAAACGTCGTACTCTATTATTTAATTTATTTTCTTTATACGTGACTTTACCGAAAGAACCAAAGAGTAATTCCTGCAGTCATGAAAGCTTCAAATCAAGTTTGAAAAAACGTTATTTAATGTAACGTTCTGCACTAGGGTGGCCGTGATTGGTGCGTGTCAAGTGCCCGGCGCACCACCGCAAACCTTAACGTCACCGAACAATGACGTGTTTTAATACCGCCGGCGACAGCGACGACTACGATCACCGATTTGATGGCGACGGTAACGAGCCCACGGGTGCCGATCACGTCGCAGGTTTGCGCAAGGCGGCCGCGCCCCCTCGTTCGTCGCGCGCCGGGGCGAGCTGCTGGCCGCGTTGGAGGCCGCCGGGTGGCCCGTGACGCAGGCCGCCATCTCTCGCGTGGAGCGAGAGGCGGAGGCTGCCCACGCGCACCTGGAGAAGGCGCGGGAGCTGCGCCGCGCCGCCACGGAGCTGGCCAAGGGCGCGCCGCGCCGCGCGAGGCCACGTACCTGCCCGAGGCTCGCCGCCGCCGCCACCATGGCCCGCTAGGGAGGGTCCGCAGTAGCGGTGGAGGTGGCGGTGGTGGTGGAAGCGGGGTCAGCGCTGTTAGCGATCTGCTGTGTCGTCTGCAACAGCCGTTGTTGGTGATGATAATGGTCATAACCATGATGATCCATAATAGAGGTTTTTTTTTTGGTTAGATCACGTAAATATATAAATGTTGTGTCGTTAAAACCCGCCAACACCTGACACAGCCAACTAGTAAGGGTTGTCACGTAAACAGAACGTGCCAATTTGTTACTAGTACAGCACACCGGTGTGTTGGAGAGCCAAGCCACAACATTTACAATCTGAGGACGACGTTTCGCCAGTAATTACAACCAGCTTCATCAGGCGACAGCCAGATTTGTGGAGTAGTCCACCTGTTTTGTTCCTTGTATAGAGGCGTAGATGTGGTGACCACACTTCTGCACGCAAAGTTTGTGGGGGGAGGGGGATTAATGAGTCAATGTACAATATGCATGCGCATTATTCGAGCCCTTTGATCTTGTTCTTCCTGTCCATTGTGTGTATTAAAATAGCCGTACCAACGGTTATCCCTATTGAAGTATGGTGCCCTGTATAGGCATGCATTTAAACAATGTATTATTTGATGATTCGCTTCCACGCAGCACTAAGCCGATAGCTATCTGAACGGTTTAAAAAAAAAATATTTTAATTTCGATAGATTCTCTAATTAGTCTTGGCCAGTAGTAGTCGTACTCAGATTGTAAATGTTGTGGCTTTACTCTCCAACACACCGGTGTGCTGTACTAGTCACGAATTGTCACGTTCTGTTTACGTGACAACCCTTACTAATGGGCTGTGTCGGGTGGTGGCGGGTTTCACGACACATTTTTTTATTTACGCGATCTAACCCCAAAAAACAAACTTATATTACGGATGATATTGGTCGCGAAAGCCTCCTACATGTTAAACTAACCATGATGACGATTGCCGTTATAACCGTGATGATGATCGAGATGATGACCTGTTGTGTTGTCTAGAACAGCTGCTGTTGGTGATGATAATGATGATCATAGCCATGATGATGATGATTGCCATTATGACAGGGGTAGTGGTGGTGATGGTAACCTAGACGATGGTGGCTGTGATGATAATGGTGATAACGCCCATGATGGTGATGATTACCCTGATGATGCAGGTGATGAATACCACGATGACCTGAGGGTCAATTGTAATTGTGTCGAGGTGGTCCGGTGACTCAGAGGTCAGAGCACACTACACTAAAAACCCAGCAACCCGAGTTTGATTCCTGGACAAATTACGGTTCAGTACCCGCAGAAAAGCAGTGCACCTCCTTGTGTGGCTTTGGAAGATGTCCCTTAGTTCTGAAGTCGCTTTAGTTGGCAACTTTATTCGATCCAGCAGCACATGTTGTATTATGCCCTGAAAAGAGAGCTTCGTCACACGTGATAACACTTTCTTTTTTATTCTCAGGTTGGTATGAGCAGAATTCAGTTAGAAATGTAATGTAATTAATGTTACAGGTGTCATTGTTGTGGAGTTATTGGTGACTGGACTGAGACCGTCAATTCACGACGCTTGAGAAGCCGGGTTGATCACAACTTCGTCTAAATGTGTATATGGGTCTCTATGTGAGGTCTGTGGGTCTCTATGTGAGGTCTATGGGTCTCTGTGTGAGGTCTATGGGTCTCTGTGTGTCTATGGGTCTCTATGTGAGGTATGTGGGTCTATGTGAGTCTATGGGTTTCTGTGTGAGGTCTATGGGTCTCTGTGTGTCTATGAGTCTCTATGTGAGGTCTGTGGGTCTATGTGAGTCTATGGGTCTCTGTGAGGGTTATGTGTCTCTGCGTGAGTCTGTGAGTCTCTACGTGAGGTTTATGGGTCTCTATGTGAGGTTTATATGTCTCTGTGTGAGTCTGGGTCTATGCGTGAGTCTATGAGTCTCTACGTGGGGCCTATGGGTCTCAACGTGAGTCTATGGATCTCTTTGTGAGTCACTGGTGACCAGACTGAGACCATCAACTCCACTACACTTGAGAACCCGGTTTAATTACGGGTGGCTGAAACCCAGAGTTGTACTCTTAACATTGCTGGTTCTGTAGCCTCCCCAACCATCTCTGTTATATTTAAACTGTTCATAGATTTTTTTTAAATTTACATTCAAAACCATGATGGCGTTTGCCAAGATATATAAATATATTTATTTGATACATCCATAAAACTCAAATCAGAGATATAATTGTGCTTTCTTAACAGCGTTCCCAGGTCAGAGGGGTTGGTTTTTGTCAGCAGTAGACGTTTGTCGTTACAGCGTTGTATTCCAAAAAGCTGCTTGCTCGCACGATTTAAATTTCCATTGAAGACATTCATGAAGTGTTTATTGAGACGAAGGTTTTTGCTTATTGAGGTATTGTGGTCAGAATGCAAACACAGTTAACATTTTTGAGGTATTGTGGTCAGAATGCAAACACAGTTAACATTTTTTAGTTTTCGTGGTGCTCCCATCAGTGAAGCTCTTCCACAACGAGAGAGGTGGCTTCTTCAATGTCCGGAACTCCCATTCCATTATTGTCCCCTCTGCCGACTCCAATATCCTTGTTCAAGTACAGTAAAACCTTGGATTGCGAGCATAATTCGAGAATATGAATCCCTGCAGTCACGAAAGCTTTAAATCAAAATTAATATGTATTTACATTTTTTGCTCGTCTTGCAAAACACTCGCAGACCAAGTTACTCGCAATCCAAGGTTTCACTGTAGATGTTTGAGTAACTATCGAGTGTGTGCAGGTGGTGCGGCTTGTGGCCGGAGGGGCCCACCCAAACACTGGGGCTACAGAGAGGGCCGGAAGTTGGTCACCCGTTTTCTGTCGTTCACAGCAGCACCGTGCGAGCTTTTATCGACATCTTTGTACGCATGTTGGACTTCTTTACATCTTTGTACGTATGTTGGACTTCTTTACATCTTTGTATGTATGTTGAACTTGTTTATCGACATCTTTGTATGCATGTTGGACTTCTTTACATCTTTGTACGCATGTTGAACTTGTTTATCGACATCTTTGTACGTATGTTGAACTTCTTTCGCACCGTGAACGTAGCCGAACCCGTGCTAAAATCGGAGGTGCGGGGGAAGGACAACAAACTGAACACACAAAAAGCAGTTCTAAATAAATTAGTTTGTCACTCTAGATGGTTTAAAAGTGCGTAGCTCCAGTGGCTTCCTAAGATCGGAAAGAAGAGCGTTCCAGACGGCCGCAGAAGCAGCGCATCTGCAGTGACCGTCTTTGTCCGATTGCCAGCCAAATGTCGCTGCGAGGACGAGCGGAGTTCGCTGAATGATGGCTTACGACGTGATCAGCGAGGTATCGTGGTGCACTTGTGGCGAGCGCTTTGTGTGCGGAACGAGCGCGATGTTCTTTGTTCACGCCACCCCCGGCACCCATCGTTCATTCACCTGTCTCACCGCTCGCGGCGTCATTAACACGTCGTCGCATTTTGGACTCTTCCAGTGTTCTAATTGTACGATGTAGTCGATGTAATCGTGCGACGTGCGTCTCTATCCCCCCAGGAGACTCGTGTGTGCCCGTTCGTAAAAAAATGGTTGTCGTGACGTTGTTTTTTACACGCTTTTTATTATTAACTCAGTCTGTTGTCGTTGTATGCTCAAATCTTGTAACTCAATTTGAACCCACTTTCCAATGTGGTATCGACTGCAAACTTGGTATACTTATGTCATACTGATGACAATACTATATTCTATCATAAAAATAACACTTTTTAAAGAGTTATTTTTTATGTTATGTTTCGGCTTGGGTCTAATTTTCCACGGTAAACTGACGTTGGCTGTAATTGACTACGGCCCCCTTACGTTATGGCAAGCTTCGGGGCCACTTCCTGGAGTCGTGGAGTTCTTCCATTACTACTAGTACGGAACATTTCATTAAAGCGTGTTTAAAAAGAAAATATTTCAATATTACTTATTTCTAGTTGCGTCTGTGGCAGCGGGGGAGGTGTCCTGCCTGCATCGCCGTGCTGAATTTGTGCATTTCTAAGAAAGTTTAAAGCTCCACTCCGCCCAACGGGGTTGGTTGTGACCTCGCTCGCGTTCGGCTCCGTCACTCGGGGAAATCCGTGGATCCGGCGTCCGCCTCGAAGCGCGCGCGCGTGCGGTGATTGTTGATGAAGCGATGGGACGCTCCACGTCGAGCGCAGGCGCCCACGATTGCTTCCCATCCCAGCCTCGTGAGATTTTAGCGTCGTCGAATCAAGGGGGCCGGCTAGGGAGACGGCCGAGGGGGGAGAGAGGGCTTTTGTGTGCAGCTGCCAAAGGCGTAGAGAAGAGGAGGGGTTCTACAATTTCCGGTGTTGGTACTTTTGAGAAGTGAATAATTGACAACTAGGAATTGAGAATTTTATTTTGTTTTATTTTCATTATTTTATTTCAATTCTACGTGACTTTACCGAAAGAACCAAGAAGAAGAATAGGAATTGATTAATAGGAAAAGGTTTTTGGGTTAGATCGCGTAAGTATAATTGTGTCCGTTACCAGCGAAACGTCGTACTACTCAAATAGTGAATGTTGTGGATTTACTCTCCAACACGCCGGTGGGCTGAAGTAGTCACTCATTGGCGCGTTCTGTTTACGTGACAAACCTTACTGATTGTGTCGGCTGGTGGAGGGTCACGACGCATTTATACTGACGCGATCGAGCCCCTGAAACCTTGACTATGAACAATATTGGTCACGACAGCCTCACCACGTGTTAACCTGACTCGGGGAGTGTATCGGTGGCGGTTCATGGCCCAGAGGTGAAGGAGGCAACAAAGTCCACCTCGGATTTTGCGTTCGGGCTATGTAATGACGCACGTGGGTGGACTTGTTGATATTATTGGAACGTAAAGGCAGCGGTGATGGTGATGCCGTGCGAGCCGGGGCTCGCATCAGAGCAGTTGCCCTAGGAAGTTTGCGCCATCTGGTGGAGACAGCTCTGATGACGAAGCCACTTTTCCATTTAAAGCTTTCATGACTGCAAGGATTCATCTTCTTTGGTTCTTTCGGTAAAGTCACATAGAATGAGAATAAAATAATAAATTAATAAAATAAAATAACACAATAACATTCTCACGACGCTACGAATCTTAACGTTCATTGAAGTTCTGTCGTCCCGACAGGTCTGTTCCTTTCACCTGAAGGCCAAGTATTGTGTTGT